TACAGTACAGTACACTATGAAGAGAGAGAATGCTAACCTTGCTTGAGGCGACTTCTGGCTTGGAGGACAGGAAGTCAGGTGGGGAGGCGGGTATTGTTTAGAGGGAGTCCCCCTCCCTACAGGAAGACACGACCACGTGTCACAGTAGGGAAAATGGCCGCAGATCCTGTTCGTCACCCGATGCGGAGTTCGCGAATGGAAGCAAAATTTTGCGAACGGTGCTGTTCGTGACCCGAATCGGTCGTGAACAGAAGCGTTTGTGACCCGAGGTACCACTGTACATGTTTGATTATCTCTCTCTGCTACTGCCACTGTTTAATACATGTAATGTTTACTTTCATTAATAGTCTTATCATTTTATCTGTTCCAATCTAATATTATTAATAATATTAAGACAAGGCAAGGCAAGACCAAAATTGGAATAATAAATCAATACAATACAGTGGGCACTACTGTGATTGAAGATGTCAAAACTCAACACCAAGCAACAGACTGAAAGAGCACGTAAAATGTATGAGTTACCTTCAGGTTCAAGTAGCTGGGGTACATTGAGCTCCTTCTCTGCTATTTGAAATGCCTCTCTCAGATTCTCTTTGTTAGATCTCCCTTTTGCTTTTTCCACATCAACCAAACCTGGCCTTAATCCATGAATGATGGCTAAGAAAGCTAATCCATTTCTCCAACTAGATTTGAAATCTGCAACGCTGATAGACCCATGCCTATGATCAAAAGCATTTAAAAACACACAAAATTAAAGTAACATTGGACGCAATTAAATTATGATGGAGAGAAGAAAATAAAATAGTGTATACTAGCCTGTCCCCTCATCATGATTTTAAAATTAGCTATAATCCTTCTTCCCTCAGCCTAAAGACCAAAGTAAATGAGGCTCTGTTAGAAAATGTATGGATAGATTTTTCTAAAGAAGGAAAATAGCAGGTGTGGGAGGTGCTATATAGCTTGCCCTGACTTTCAATGTAAACTCTCTGAGAAATCATAATTTAAACATTGGAGGAAGGGTGTTTCTTTCCATGACATAAATTGACTATTGACATAATTCAAATATATTTGAAAGAAACTTCACACAATTCCTTCCTTAAAGCACACCTCCTTTCTATGCAGTTCAGTCATGTACCACAGAAGAGTGCTGACAAAACAGCTTAAAGTGATTTGTATACTGAAAATAAGCAAGAAAAGAATGCTATTTTTATATTTTTTTATCCCGCCTTTATTATTATTATAAATAACACAAGGTGGTGTACATGCCTAACACTCCTTCCTCCTCCTATTTTCCCCACAATAGCAGCCCTGTGAGGTGAGTTGGGCTGAGAGAGAGCGACTGGCCCAAAGTCACCCAGCCAGCTTTCATGCCTATGGCAGGCCTAGAACTCACAGTCTCCTACTTTCTAGCCTGGTGTCTTAACCACTAGACCAAACTTGAATCAGATAGATTCATCTTTCTTCTCTAATTATATATATCACTCCTAAGCAAATGAAATAAAAGTTATTCCATTAGAAGAGTGAAAACTCTTTGCAAAATGGGAAATCAGCTCTGTGTACTGTCTGCATAATGGAGAATCACAAAGCAAATGGTACCTTCACTGTCCAAGCCCACTTGGTCCAGAAATTCCATAGGTTCATAGCTACAGGAGCTATCCCTCCCTTGCACATACATTTCCCTCACAAGCAGGAGACAGACTAGAAACTAAGAAAGCTCTACACAGGTAGAGAATAGGTTGCATTTATGAAAGGTGATGGCTTCCTGGGTGGGGAGAGACAAAATGGCCAATTGATCAAATGCAGGCCACACCGTTTGCTGAACTTATTGTAGGACCTTTAGTTGTACACGGAGGGAAGTGGGAAATCGGCTTGCCAATTTTCTCCAGCATAATTTACCCAACTCTTTTGATCTCCCTGGCAGAGTCCCAACAGCTATTATCAGTTTGATTACAACTATGGAATAGTTTAGATGGCCACCTACCTCTCAAAAAAGATTTGTTTATAATGCTACAGCAGAAACCTCTAATTACCTCTGTCAACTCATCATGCATTCATTATAAAGCCAAGCTGCATGCTATACATATGTTTATATTATACACTCATAATGAATTTATTCAGTCCAGTCTTCCTCAACGAATGTCTACCAGATGTTTCAGACTCTAACTCCCGTAAGTACCAGGTAGTTGCAATGGGCAGAGGTTATCTTATCCTCTTATCCTTATCTCCATCTATCACTCTTTTCCTCCTGTGTTTTCTCATTTAGATTTAGTACTGAGTTCTGCAATATGGCTTTAATCAGTGTTAAATCTATACCCAGGTGCTTAACTTAGAATTGTTGTTATATTTCATACTGTGAACTTTCCATGGAGAAAGAGCAGCTGAAAAATGAATCTCAATGTGCCTGTTGTGGTACATCTTTTAAATAGTATGTTATGCATTTAGAGGTCTTTGAGGAATGCAATTTTTATGAATTCTGACACAAACTGACCTGGTCCATACTTCAAGACTAACATACTAATACAGATGCAGCCGCTCCTCAGATCTGCATTTGTCTGCAGTTACCCAACAGCTTAAAGTTTAAAGTAAGCAAATAAATGTGGAAAAGGGGTAGAACAGGCTGATTTTCCTATCCTGACATACTTGTCACACTGCTCTTTGGCCCATAACAGGACAGCCTTCTTTGCTGATATCTTCCATCGTTCCCTTGCTTTAACATTTATTCTGGCTGTTGGGCTTGGGGCTGGTGATGAATCCACAGTGCTTGAACTGTCCAGAGATGGCTGGCTGTATCCACAAGTAAGAGCCTTGGCTAATTCTTCAATCTGCCCATGAGCGTCAGAAAGAGCGAAAATATACTTTTAGGTAAGATCAGACATTTTCAAACGTAAGAGCAAATTCAAGTGACTGATTCTGATACGATGTGTTCCTCATAAAAGAGCCATATACAGAAAGAAAAAGACTACCCCCAAAAAATATCTAGTTAGCCATAATTTTGACAAGACACATTTTTCATGCAGGATTTGGCTTCTCTATCACATTAAATATGTATAGTCACTTAACACTGAGCTAATATAGTACCCTGCTAAGGACCATTCTATCTCAACTGTATATATCTGAGCTGAAAAAATCAGTAACTAAATGTTCAATATTTTCCTTACCAACCATATGGAGAAAAACAAGCACACTTAACAAGTAATAACAATTATAAATAACACAGTATCTAAACTTCAGTTTGTACTAACCATGCTAAAATAGGATAAAACCATTCCTAAAATTATTGAATGTAGGCAAAAGATCAAAATTTAATGTGAGATAATATAAAACGTAAGGAAAAATTATCATAATTTTATAGTACAAGTGAAATAGTTTCTTGGCAGTGGCAGAAGAAGCAGAATTGACAAAGTCATATTGAAATTGTGGGACAACCACTAATTAGAACTAAATCTGAAAAACTCTCTCTCTTTATGTTGAGTAATACTTACATGAAAATGCAATATAATGATCCATATGAGACCAAGCACGATGGATGGTTTTCCCTCAATAATATCAGCAACATGGATGTTAATAAGCTTGAGCTAGAAAAAGAAGGATTTATTGTTTTGAAGAACAGGAAGATACTGGGTCCCTCCAGATGCGTCGAGACTATGTTTCCCAGAATTCCTAGTCAACTGAAAGAGGAGAATTCTTGGAGTTACAGTCCCAGTACATCTGGAGGATACCAGTAGAGAAAGACAGGCTTGTTTTACAAATCTGCAATGTTGGTATATGATTTTCATAATAACAATCCTGATCCAATGTTAGAGGTGAAACAAGCTGCAAGAGTATAGGAAGAAAATAAGCTTGCTTTAAAATGAGAATACAATACCCCAAATCCAACTCTTTGGGCACAAATATCTGCTTCTCTTCCTTGAAAAAGTAACAACTAACTTTCTTAGTTGTGATTCAGGCACTAACTCCTAAGATTTTTTTTTTAAAAAAACTACCACGTGTGCTTGTTGCAAAAAGCAAATATAATAAAAGTAAAAGATATGCAAATATCACAGACAGCTGGCAATCAACCCGGATGTGCCTTCACATCTAGAAAAATGTTCTCGCGTGGCTAAGATCTGTAACTAGTTTTGTAGTGAAACAAAAAACTGAACAACTCATTGAATGCTTTAGCAACTAAGCATTTAATGTTTTAGCAACTAAGTAAACTCAACCTCCTTTCAGAGTTGAAATAATACTAACTGATCTATTCTTCAGGAAGGTTAAGGCATTTTCAATGTTGCTTCTGCATTGGAAAGTGTTCGATCCTTTTTCACGTGGCTATAAAGTATAAAAAACAAAAAAGAACAGTTTGATTAATATCAACAGTGAGAATGTTTCACTATTTTTAAATATGTATTCCTGATTGCAATCTTATGAGGCAAATTGACAACAACAATAATAGGACAAATCAAGGATGCAGTAATAATTGATTCATTTTATCAGCAGATGGCTGGATTCTGAAGTCCTTTTCTACTTTATGATTCTATCTTCCTATATGCTGCTAGCACTGCTCTTGTAAATATCGCAGAAAATATCTATGTATGTGATGCTCTACAAAGAGTGAAAGTAGAGCTCACCACCAAAAGGGTCATACAGTCTACAAAGAGGTATATAGGAGGGAACCCAGAAAAAGGAGGGAAATGGATACATGGAGAAAAACAGACATGTATTCTGAGATGGTTATCATCCTAAATCCTTTTGGCACAATAAAATATTTTGTATTTTGAGAAATAATACTAATACAAAATCTTACAAACAAGGAACTGTGCATTTAATAGTGTGGTTCATTTTATCCATTTTACATAATCTGTTTTTGCAACTCAGATATTTCAACTACTTGAGTAGAGACATATCATTGCAGGAAACAAAAGACTTAGGAAATGCTTCTATGCTTTTCTCAGTCTAGAAACTTGCGATATTTTGTTAAGTGTCTGTTGGGAAACATGAGAACCACATGTACAAGGCCTTTCTATGAATTATCTTGGTTGACCTATTTATAATCCTCTTACCAGTTGTTGTCCTGAAAGGACCTCCAGCAGATCCAAAAGCACATGCCCCTTCCCAATGTCTGAATACAAGTCCAAGATAAGAGAAGGCGATGAATGCTGCAGAGCAATTATTTATATTTGGTTATATATACTTTAAGTGCTTTTAGTATTCATTATAACAAGATAATATGTATATTATACAAGATAATGCAAATATGTGTATTTGGATGCATATTTCACTTTTTCTCCTGGCTCCAAGGAGCTCTTGTACAAATATTCTAGCAATAAATCCTCAATGTGTTAGTCTCTGGGTCATCATAGAAGCCTGCTAGCAGATGGGACCATTGTCATACTATCAACATCTCCTTGCTAGGCTTCCTATTCAATAAGGTTTCAGTACTTTTTAAAATATGTTTTTAATTAGTAGTGGTAATAATTAAAGAATCTGCCAAGTTGCAAAACAAAGCATCAGTCTAGCATCATCTCTTTATTTACAGAGTTCTAAATCAATCTGCAAATTGGCATTCTTAGAAAATAAAAATGGTGAGGGTGCTAGTCTTGCCCTCTCCCTATCTTCCAAAAGACAACGCTAAATTGGAGAGATAGGGACCATCCTGGAAGCTTAGAAGGAAGGTTTGGGGGCAATATCACCAGCCTGCTTTCTGATAATTGGGCATTTTGTGATTAGACATACTTATCATGTCAGCAATTTCATGAAAGTGCAAGCAAAGCTTTCAGTGTTCCAAAGAGGCCCAAACAGGTTGCCCATTCTTGGCTCTGTTGAGCTGAGGTGCTACCAAGGCAGCTGCCAAATATTGCTAAGTCATATTTCAATATAGTATCTGAAGTATGACTCAGGTGATCATACTTCAAATGCTATACTTTTCAGGTGGTACAAGAAGACCAGCTGAGCCAATAAATCCACAATGCTGGTTTAATTCTCAGTCATGACAATTTTTTTACATGAATGCAGAAAAAGATACTATCAATTCCATGCCTTAGATGCATTTCTTTTAGGTCATCAGCCCTGTAAACTGGGCTGGCCTTACCTTTACCAGCATCTCTCTCAGGCAGCTGATTTTGAGTGTTATGAGGGGGCAGCAAATTGTAATTATTATATTTATACTGTCAATTTTGGGGAATTGCTTCTGGGTTTACCTCCCCCACTCCCAGGCACCCAATAAAGTTTTCTGGCCTAGGACACTGAGACCTTGACTTGGGAGGGGAAGCTGACAAATGTTTTGGGTTGGTTTTGTCCATTTGCTGGATCATCAATCTTTGGAAACGTTTTTACATGGAGCAGAAGTGTCATCCAGGGATATTTAATTAGGAGGGAAGGAAACAAAATAAAGGAAACAACCAACAAATAAATGATGCTGTATTTACAGGGCAATCACAGTATCCCAGTACAAATATGACAATCAAATATTGTGTCTGCACAACCTGCTAACCAGATTAAGGAATTATTACTGGGTTATGCCCCCTCACTAATTCAGTTAATGGTGTAGTTAGAGAGGGTTACTTTTAACCCCTAACTGAGGCTGTAAAGTACTTCTGTTGGTCAGCCATGTCATATGAATGTGAAAGGAAAGGAAAGGAAAGGTGAACAGAGAGCTGACTCTCTTCTGGTTGCTGATAAAAATGAATAGATAGCGCAACCAGACAAAAGAGGGTTACTCTCAGCACTCATCCAGCTGCTGGCACAGACAACATACTTTCTAGGCACTCATTGTATATGAAGGCCGGAAAGGATGTTTAATCTCAGATTAACTTTTCCAACTGAGTTCAGCTCATACAATAAGCCCTCAGGATTGCATCTCAATCTAAAACAAACCATAGTTTCAATTTCTAATTAACAGCCTCCACCATGACTTCAAAGAAATTAAGTTTCCATCTTTGGAGGGTAAAATCTTTAGTTGGTTTAGCAAATTGCACAAATACAGACCTAGTCTGTTATTACCATTATCTTTATTCAGAATGACTAGTTCTCATGTAGTCAATAAACCAATGTCAGGGCTCTATAAATTCAGACTGGAGGTAAAAGGTTATATGGCTGAATTCTCTTTCATTAACCCACCACCACCAAAATATCAAAACTTCACGTTGAGGGGAAAAAATGCATATGCTATATTTTTTTATGAGCAGAGGGGGTCTTTTTGTTCAACAGAGGACTGCTCAAATGTGTTAATCTTCATCTACAGTCTGAATTGGTACATCACTGACTAAAGTTACCATCTCAGTGAAGTCCAAGTAATTGAAATCTAGCTACTCAAAACTCCTAAATATCCTTCAACTATGCATTAGTCTTGAATTCTTTTCCACAAGCAATTCAGACATTTCACCAAGTTTTAAATATTTGCTCTAAGCAATACGTTGTTTCTATTTAACTATCCTGTTGAGATACAAGTATTTAATCAGATAAAAGGGACTGAAACATTATTGTAATTTACATATATTTTAGAAAAGATATTCTCCTCCAATGTTATCCCATTACCTTTTCTAGCTGTGAGTTCACCCAGCTTGTGAAAGTTCTTTTTTGAGTATCCTCTTGCTCTGCTATTTTGTAAAATAAAAAGATAAAATTATTTATAAATTAAATGTCAGGCTATTAATACATTTATTTATGTATTACACATCTTTCTTTTGTCCCATGGTTGTATCTGGATTTCAAACAATCTAGAAAATCTATTTGTCAAAGGAAAAAATACATACTTCGTTAATTATTTTGACATCATCTTCAATCCATTTTTTAAAAGTTGTCTGCTGTTTTAGCCTTCCCCAACCTGATGTTCTCCAAGGGTTTGGGCTCCAGGTTTGGGAAGGTCTATTTAAAGGTCTCTCCAGTCCAAAAACCTCAAGAAAATTAAGGACCTTCAAATAGCACCTCTGCATTCAAGCCTCTGAAAAGCAAGCACAGCATGCATAGATACCATCTGGTCACAGTGTACTATTTAAATACTGTAGAGAGCCTGTTTGCTGTAGTGGTTAAGGTACCAGACTAGAAGCTGGGAGACCAGGAGTTCTAGTCCCACCTTAGGCATGAAGCCAGCTGGGTGACCTTGGTCCAGTTGGTCTCTCTCAGCCCTAGGAAGGAGGCAATGGCAAACCACTTCTGAAATATTGCAAAGAAAACTGCAGGGACTAGTCCAAGCAGTCGCCAGGAGTAAAAAACTGACTTGAAGGCACCAAAAAATATGTCTATCTATACATATATGTCAGCAAGTACAGATTCTATGTAAATTAGTGTCCTTTTTTTTTATAAGTGGCCACGAGATATGAGTCCTATCCTCCAAAGCAGCAAAAACCAAATTTATCATATATCACATGTGACAACGTTTCAAGTATGTGGAAACAGTGATCACATTGCCTCTTACATATTACTTTTGCCACCTTGCAGAGGGGGGGAGGAGTGCAATTTCAATGGAAAAATGGGAGGGATACATTCCGTTATATTTGGTTTTACTCTGCTCTCCTCATGCACAATGTTTTTAAAAAACAATCTTAATCTTGCATCACGTCTAGTTATACTCTTAATTAGGTGCTTGACTCAGTGCTCAGTGAGGCTGCAATTTAATCAAGCGCATGTGCTCTGGAGTTCTAAAGGTTGCAGAGGAAACAAAACACCTATTGAACTGCACGTGTATGCTGTGAATTGGTGCTAATGTAGGGGGAAAAAACCTGGAACTTAGTGTCCATAGAACCTGAGTTGAAAACTAGAGATATCTAAAAGTGAAGACACAGTAGGCAATCTGTTGTTGTTGTCATTCAGGGGCAATTTTTTTTCCAGTATTATTTTTGCTGGTTGGAGACACTGGATTTGGATGATATCAACCCCTTGTAGAGAAGTCCTTCTCAGTTGATGGGAGACAGAAAGCCCAGGCCCAAACAATAATGAGAAGATGGCATCAGGTCCCACTGAGTCCAGCCCAGCTGATTCAAACCTTCAACCAAAGTCCCATCCACACAGCACACAGGGACACTATGGCTGAGCCAGACAGCAGGAAGGCAGTTGAGTGCATGGTTACACTGAGAAGCATTTGGCAAAAGCAGGCGTACTCAGAAGTAGCTTAATGCTGGGAATTAGGGTTGATTAGTGCTGACTGTGTTCAAGCAACTCTTTGTGCCAGCCCATGTTTGCATGCCTTGCCCCTTGCTTTAAACCATGAAAAGCTCTTCAGAAACTTCAACTCTTGTCTGGAACTGCTACCTTCTCATCCCTTGGACCTTACCTATTGGTGAGAGCTCTTTTCTTTTGCATTTGAACTGTACATTATGAAAATGACCTCACCTGATGGATTTATTGTTTGAATGGCCCTTGGTAACCAATTCCAGTCAGAAGGGCAAGTCATGACATCATGACAAGAGAGCAAACTTTCTGGGGGGTGGGGGCATGCCCATCTTGCAGTTTTAGGCTTCTACAAGGTTTACTGCACCTTATTTCTTTTGTTTCCCACTGGAAATCAGCAGAAATTATGCTGCAAAGGTTCAGCAATGCCACTGGGTTTTTTTGATAGTGTGATCCTGGTGGATCCTGGGAGCCGCAAGTACAGAGGAGAAGTGCATGCAGCCTGAAGGCTGAAAGTTCCCACCTGGCCAGAAACTTTGATTCTTCAAATTTATAGCAATTCGGGGGAAGAGGGCTGCAATTTCAATTCCTTAACAGTAAAGCAAGTTAGGGGAGGGGCAACTTCTTTTTCTCTTCACGTGCATAATACAAAAATAATTAAATAATTCTGGTGTGGCAGCAAGCTGTACTATGCTTCCTTTCTTGATCAAAACTGAATTTGTGATAATAACATTAACAATAGGCCCTTTTTTGGCAAACTAAGCAAGCAACCCCAGGAAGAGTTTTGTTACTGTTGTTCCTACTGCCAGCGGCATCCATAACAAACCACGATGATGGCAAAATTATGAGTTGAGCATGATGATGCTACCACATGAAAGATGCCCTTATGTACTTGATCCCTGATGTCTGACACAAGTACATAAAAGTACATAAGTTGTGGCATTTGTCAGTTGTTCCCTGTGCAAACACCTGTGCACATTGTTATGTGGCAGCAAAACCATTTTTTTCCCATTTTTTAAAAAAAGAAATGGGTGCTATGGCAAGTTCCCTCAAAAGTACTGAAAAGTACAATTTCCTTTCCCAACAATCTAAGAAGCCCCAGACTTCCCAGATACAGGTACTGTGGTGAATTAGACAGCATTTAACTCCTACTTTGTACTTTTAAAAATACAATTTTTTTAAAAAAAACTATCTTATATCAGGAAGAGTTATATTAAAAATCCCTGTTTACAATCAGAAATACTCATACTTCGTGAGCAAGAAAGGGTTTTTGTGTGTGTGTTTTTTTACTTATGTGTTTTACTTAAATAAAGTGTATTTAAAGAATACACTTTAAAAAACGCTTTGCTAGCTAGATTTTTTTTCAACATCTCTAGGATGACTTAAGGCAGCATTAGGTTTGCATTCAATTTACATTGCACCAGCATTTGTTATGCAAAGAATCACAGGGGATTATCTTGTTCCTTATTCAAAAAAAGGATTAAATCATTAGCATAGACCTTTTCAACAAGAAGACTAATATTCTCAGAACCACTGCAAAGAGAATTAGACAATTAAGGTCCAAACATGGGTTTACCCATTGTGCTAAGCCGTACAGTACATGTTTAGCATGTTGTGGGAATCCAGGTCTTAGTAGGATGGTAACCCATGGTTTATGAGTTGCAATGGATAAACCCAGCGACTACATCATATTCAACAAATTACTGCCAAAACAATAGTTAAGCATGATATGCGATCCCAGCTATGTGACTAAAGTTTCAGACAATGCTTTGTGTTCTTTATGGTGGGAAGATGATCGTACCCAAGGAAAACAAGCCTGAATGCCTTTGATCATAACACTCAGGGCCTAGAGATAGGTCACATCACTCTACCATGGCAAAAAGTGTCCCCCAAATCCTTTTCAATGCCACGGCCTAGTGATATTGCCTTCGTCCCTCTCCATACCCCAAAGCTGAATTAGCTTCAAATTGCCTTTAGTTGTTCCAGTTTTAAAGTATTGTTTTCCCTCTTCCCCAATACGGTTTTGACCACTGACATGATTTACGATGCTTCCTCCACAATGTGGTTGATGACACATATAAACTGGGATCTGCCAAGCTCCTACTGGCCACTTTAGGCTTGTGAGAATATGCACTGTGCTCCATGGTTGGTTTTGCTGGGGCTGCAGAGAGATGGGCACCTGGCTTCCGCTCAGGCAATTACCTGTTTACCTGACTGGCATTTTGGAAACTGCTAGTAAGATACTATGCAGGCTCCTTACAAACATGGATTCAGTGCTCTTTCAAAAGAGAAGTAGACCTATTTTTTAACCATGGGTTTTATGCCCTTTTAAAAGTTCTTCTGTATTGCACAGATGATTTAATTAAACCTGGAAAGAGAAGCAGGTTCTGCCATATCTAGATGGCTAATTCTATCCTAAATGTAGGGGCGTCCACAAGGTATGGTTAAAAAAGTCAAGATGGTAGCCACCGTAGTGCAATCAAACTCCCCCATTTTTTAACATGTGTCATCACTATCAGGACTCTCATTTCGACTTTTCTGACCTTACTCTGCAGACATCCCTGCCCAAATGTATACACTGCTGGTTTTCTGCCACTTCAGCCAGCAAGTGGTTTTACAGGGCCATACTTTTTACTGCTTTATTACTAGGGGTGGCAGTCTTTTGCCTTCTTATACACCATTTTGGGTATCCTGTGGGCTAGTTCTGAGTGCTGCTGACCATGAGTCCATGCTCACTTGCTGCCAGCACAGGCCACCACTCACATGTGGCAAACTGCAGAATAAGGAGCCTCATTCAACTGCATGTAAACACTCCTGCCCCCAATTCCAGTCCAAAATCTGTAATCTGACAGATTACAGTTACAAGGAGGGTTGCTGAGTGAAGCAGGAGGGAGCACTGCTTATGCTCCTCACAAGGCCTCCTCTTCCCTCCCACATCCCATACCTACAGCCTCTCACCAGGGCTTTTTTAGACATGGGCTTAGCAGTCTGTCAGAAACAGCCCAGCTGACTGGTTACAGGCACAGCCCTTGTCAAGCAACTTAATGGGTAAACCTGCCATTCTAAGCACCTGCCTACACCCCTCCTCTCCCCAGCCCTGCCCCAGCACATGTTCACAAGACCAATTGGTAGTAGTTTTTCCCTCCAGCAAATAACACTCAATGGAAGGGAAACAAAGCTGGAGAAATTCACCAAACGTGTCCCACATTAAAACTGCAAGGACAGCACCACTCACTCACCACATCTCTGAAGCAAAACAAGGCTCAGCCAAAGGACTGGAGGATGGGACATTAATATAGCCATGACGCATTCAACAGAAACACCCATGGGATGCCAACATTTTTGGGCAAGTGAGCCCAAGACTGCTTGTCCATTTCAAATCAACTGCCCTTTCCCAGTGATTTTGGCCCCTTCCCCAATTTGCTTCCGCTTCTTACTCTTCATCAGCTCCTTCCCAATTTGCATTTCCCATTTATCTCCTTAACCATAG